TAAAAAGTCTGTCTGTTAGGCAATTAAAAAAAACAAGATGTACATAAATAAATCTCTAATATTGTAAAATCAGTTATTGAGATAATAGAGTATCTTCTACCAGAGTTTACAATGGATACCCATTTGGTATCGGTAATTTATAAATAATCGCTACCGCTACAGCTTATCGTCATACGTGCACCCGACCGAAACCTCAATTTCCACGTTAACTCCGCATCTCATAATTGCGTTTCCTTACGCATTACGACTCCTACACTCCATACTTAGCCATGGAACACGCTATTATATGATTATTTTAACTAACTACCGACTACCGACATGTCACCAGGGTTACTGGTGTTGTATTGGGTTTAATTAGATATGTTTAGTGGCAACGAGGTGAGACTTCGACGGGTTAAAACTGTAAAACTTTAATGACAATGCGTATTTACTTCGTTACACTATTAAAAAAGTTTAAATAAAGAAAAGATTATTTACTACCTAGTACATCTTCATTATCATCAATTCATTAATATTTCACTCTGTGCAGGTTGAGAATTTAAGAGACTAGAGAGCGACTGCTGAGGGTTTTCTCCGGTACTTTTGATTTAGTCGAGTTACTTATTTGACAGTAATTGTTTCGGTAGAGGACGTAGACCATCAAAATAGTGCCGAAAGTCGGGTGTACGTCTTGCTGCGTCGTAATCGCGCGGATTCGTGTCGACGGTGTGCGTGCGTTGGCAAGATGCTGACGCTCGAAATACGTTAGTGTGTCCCTAACTCGTTTGATAAGGGTTGTGAACCTTCTGCGACGTGCAGGTTTCATCACGACTTTTCAGATATTGAAGACATAGATGCATGCTATAGACTTCATGCCGTCGACCTCTCATTGAAAAGCTATAATAAGATTCCGGTTGTTATTCAATTTTGTCATTTACGAGGTTCGAAACATGATGCTTTCAAAGGTTTTAGTAGCGGCAGAGCTCCTTGAGAAAGAGTTCGTCCTGGGAAATACTGCCAACTTACCTATTTCTGCGGCCAAGCAGTAATGTGAGATTTATTGCGTTCCGGTCTGGAAGTGTCACTTTTTAGTCACCGATTTCAATAAAACTTGGCAAATAGATGTAATTCCACGTACTTTTGAGGTCGGTTTTATAAATAAAAATGTTGCAATCATTTGAGATAATAATTTGTGCTCAAATTTCATTAAATAATATGCATATTCAAATGTAATCAGTTCTGAGAAGTCCTCCGTTTTGTAGACGGGAATGTCTAAGTTTTTTTTGTAATATCAAGTGACGGGACAAACAAGTCGTGCACCTGATGGTAAGCTACACGCCTGTGCATAACAGGAGCAGTGTCACTCAGAGCTTTAAATCGCGAAGATCTGAGGGGCACTGCCACTGCGCCCGTCACCCTGAGATATAAGTTAACAAGTCCCATGTGTCTGCATTTTCACCAGCACCCTTCAAATGCTCACAGTACTGCTTGGCGGTAAAAATAGATAAAGTGGCAGTACTTTCCTGAACGGACTCTTTCACATGGACCTCTTCAGCAACTAAAAAACGTTATTCTTTAGTTTAGCTAAATTAACTCCCACAATTCCTATCACTGGTTATTATTATAATTAAAATCGAACAAATACACAAAAAAGTTCCTTCGATCCAATTGGACCCGAACCAGCGATTGTTGCCTCAACGTGCGTACGGGCAAGGTTACATTTGACTTTGAGGTTAAGCAACCGTTCTCCCGTTGTGCTAGCAGCGCTCGTTTGAGTGTCAGACAGCTTAGTCCGTACGTTTGCTATCCAAATTTTATCCCCATTAAGAAACAACGAACACCTAAGCGCTCACCCGTGAAACCAAAAACTGTCTACAAAATCAGAAATCTCATATTATTTAAAAAAAATCTAATTGCGTGACAACAGCACATCGTTTAGGCGAATAATTAAATTTCCTCCCATGCAAAAAGCCGCCTTACGGTACGCGATTATCTCGACACGATTGAGTAGTTCCCGATGTTATGGTAAATTATTTAAATTTTAATTTGAACCTATTAATTAAACATTATTACGTTCTGCAAACCTTTGATGATTACTTATTTACAGGTACCGCACTGTAAGTATTACATCGTACTTCTTCACTTCATCGACATCTTGAAATAAATTAAGACGTAGACGTAGTCCACTATACAGACCCAAGCCGGATTGGGGAATAAACACACACTTCTTTGATTTTCAGGTTCCATCATGATATTTTCCTTTACCGTTACCGAAAAGCAGTGCGTGTACAAATGTACGTGATTTAGAAACTAAAATCATAGCTGCAGGCTACATTGCAGCTCTACACAAAGTGTTGGTGTCCAAGCTAAATAACCAAACTAGGATAACGACTAAGACAGCCGTCAAACCATAACCTGGATCTACAAGACCATCATAAGACACATCCTTACATATGGTATAAAACCCTTAGCTATGAGAATGTTGAGATATTTTTGCAATAACGTAAAGTCTAATAGGTACAACAACCACAAACTCTTTCTTTAATCTACACCTTACAATTACAAATAATACAATTCTAACCACAGTAAAATTTATAGTAATTGAATATTCGCCGCATTTATTTGTATATATAACACGGAAGAAATTCTATATATTAAATTTGACACAATGTGTATATATTTATATGTCTGTATATGTTTCGTATTTATGTAATATATATTTATTTTTAAGACATCAACCTACTCTGTATAAATATGTAACCCAACCACTGTTTCAAAATAATAAAACTAATATAACTGCTCTAATTACCTGTACTGTACAATTTAGAAATTTGTAAATTAGATGTAGTAAACAGATATGGATGTAGAAGAGCGGAGTCTCCTAACACAGGCATTGCTATGCTTAAAAGGAGATTCCAGTCACTAATACTGTAAATCTAAACTTGAAATGAAATAAATGATTATTATTATTATTATTATTATATGGTTGTGAAGCTTGGACATTTAAAGAAGGGAACAGAGTTCTGGTGGCTGAGCGAGAGATTCTCAGGAAAATGTTTTTTTTTTATAATATCAAGTGACGTCGTGCGCCGCATATGGCCTGATGGTAAGCTACACGCCTGCATATAACAGGAGCAGTGCCACTCGGAGCTTTAAATCCCATGTGCCTGTTATTAATTTCACCAGCACCCTTACCCTTCACAACCGGAATACAGTAATGACGTTACGAAATAGGTAAGGTGGCAGTAGTATCCTGGATGAATTCTTTCACAAGGAAATCTACTGCTACTAAAATATTGAGATCAGACCAACGGGAGGATGGTAGCTGGTCAGTTCGCGTTAACGCCGAAATAGAAAATCTCGTCACCCACCAAACATTATCGTCTAAAACGCGACTTCCCTGACACGGCCATTTAGAAAGGGTAGAAGATGATCGGAACGCGAAGGATGCCTATGTAGGTCGACCTACTGGACGAAGACCACTTGGTCGTCTTGAGTACAGTGGCGTAGCGTCGATTTCTGCCGCCCCCACCTACCTTCAATTTGTTGCCTTCTCTATTTTCAGGATTTCAAAAGTAGTTCGTTCGTGGCTTGATTGTGTATTTGTGTTAGCCTGTTGTTGCCATCTTTACGTTGTTCGGATATCGTTTTCTCAAATAGGGGAATTTATTTTATAATTTTAAGTAAAAAAAATATAATTTTGACTAGTTAGGGATAGCCGCCGTCCCCATAGTCGTGCCGCCCGGCACCTTGGCCTTCTCTGCACCCCACACGCTACCACTGCCCGGGTATCCATGGATATGCACGAACTTTAAGCTATTAATTCGCGAGAGACAGCACAGAACCGAAGAAAGAGGCGTAGTCACGTTTTGGAGGGCAAGACACAATCTGGGTCGCTGAGCCACCGGTTAAGCTTCAGGGTTAAGATCTGAGCTTTGACGCATAAAACTTAAATCCAACTGAGCTTCATGTACTCTCGACAGTACATGCCGCCACAGTCGTCGTAATTGTTAATGAGCACCACAAACGTTATCCACAAATACTAATAAAATATTGAATTAAAAACGCCACTATATGTTGTAATAATGTGCGCTCAAGCCTTGCAAAGGACAGAGCACTTTGGTTCGTTTTCTAAATTGGTTGCATTAAGAACCCAAGAAGGTCAATGTAATGTACAACGTATGTTCACCACGTAAGATATCTTTTTGTATTTGAGCGCACTGCTAGTTAGAATAAAATCTCAGAGAAAAGTAAAGTTTCTCACTGTCAACTAATTAATTATACCCAATATCTCTCCATAAGAGAGTCCCGTGTTCAATCTCCGTGTTCAATCTATATTTAGGCTATGCTCCTCCACGTTAGCTTAATCTTCAACGTGCAGGTTTTATTATATTTCTCATTTCCCTGCACTAGGGAAACCCTGCATCGCGAGTGCAATGGCCACACAGACAGACCACAAATTACACCCAAACTCATGAGAGAAATAAATGTAGGCCATATAAATATTTCTCCTTACACGGGAATCGAATCCGGGACCACTGTGTGGCAGTCCAGAATGATAACTGTTCGGTCACGGAGGCAGTTAGTTCCACAGATATACAAAACTGAGTCCATCTATCACGTAATACATATCCATCATGCAAATTTATGTATAACACTCAATTGCATCAACATAGATACATACATACTACGTACGTACGTACGTACGTACATACATATTTCCTATTTTTATTTTGCTATAGAAAGGTGATAGTTGAAAACCAATTATTTGTTTTGGCAAAGTTACTGTTGTGTATTAACTGGTGTAAGATTTTTGCCATATTCCTATATTTATTCAATGTAATTGTTTTTTTTACACTATAATAAGAATGTATAATAAATACACTTTATAGATAAATAAGTAAAATATACTAACCATGACTATGTTCTGTTGAAAGAGGACGGAAATTTAATTAATTAATACAAACAAATAAGCACAATACAAACAAACGCACCACATACAGAGACAACGCACTATCAAGATGTCCAGGGATGTCAATCAGGTCAATGGCACCGCCCTGGAGGAAGAGCGCCCAGTCATCCATGAGACTCTAGGACACGCCGTTCGTATAAAACAGTCCTTCTGTCCGTCCATATCACAGTTCGAGCACAAACATCGTCACACCACCATGGCTGCCGTTAAAGTAAGTAGCAAAAGTTACTTATTACTTAACTGTAAGGAACAATGTTCTGTGAAAAGTTTAAAGATTCAACAGTTTTTGGAAAATAGTAATGGAAAAGGCAAATTTTTTGGAACCAGTCATGTTGAGAAGTAAACAGAATGTGTTAAGAGTCATGTTAGAGTAATAATAATTTCACTTTCAAGATTAATTCCAATAAATATCAAGTCGCAATTTAAAATGTAACATGGAACCTGTAAAGGATCCGAAATATTATTTGTTTAAAAAATATACGCGATTTTTATTCCCAGTAATATGATTGTCACTAACATAAACAACAACTATAAATACAAAACCAAATAGTGTAACGAAAAATGCACTAAATATTGTACAACGACCTCCAATAAAATAAAATTACAAATTCTGCGAGAAATATCTAAAAATAATACAATCATTGTTCAATTTCTGTTTTTGTCATATTCTAAAGAATTAACATTTAATTTTTATGGCATACAAATACAGTCACGGGCAATGAATTCGGGTCACTGACAAAATTTTTATTAGCTGGAGTAAATATAAGATTAAAGAATTAATATTAATAAATATTGAAGAGAATTTGAAAAATGTACAAAAAATGTGTTAAAAGTAAATCGTATCTCAAAACTAAATCGTATCTTTAAAATAATTCCAGTAATTTAACTTTGCCCCAAAAATATTTCATCTTTGCTAAAAAAAAATCTGCAAACAAAATTCACAACAGTTTAAAACTGCTAATAGTTTTTAAATTTGTCTAAATCGGTTCAATTTTAAGTGTTCTCTCATTTTGACATACTACAGGTGACTCTTGTTCTTTTCTCCTAAGTATTTTTAAGGACATTTTTGTACATCCTTAAAACGGACCTGAGATTTAACATTATGTTCATTACAGACTAGGATAGCGTTCTCTGAATCGCTCTACTCTCACTTGACATTTGTTCATTAATACAGGGTAAATAAAGAATATAGCTCTGTTCAACTAATTTTATATAAAATACTTGATAATTATTTATTTCATATTTTCAATATCACAATATTACGATTTTAAATACAATTTCAAGATATAATACGTGCAATGCATAAAAATACATTATAAAAAGTAAATAGATTATACAAACAATGTACAACAAGGGAATATGTTTCATTATTAAGAAATTATTCTAGCACGCAATACATACGGCTTATTGGATAAAATTATAAGTAGCACGTACTCGACAGTTCAATATTCGCAAACACATTCAAACAATACTCAATTTGAGTACATTGGATATCCCATTATCTTTTGTCAATTCGTGAGAAATCTCCCTTGAATAGTATGAACCTCTGTAAACTTCGCGTGTCGTACAATCGCGTGCTTTATTACTTTTTGTGCAGTTTTGTTTGATTGTCTAGATTATAATTGTTCATATTATTTCATTATATATAATAAAGATGGTGGCTATCTTAACCCAGTAGCAGAAGAGCTCCGTGTGAAAGAGTTCATCCAGGGAAGTACCGCCACCTTACCTATTTCAGCCGCCAAGCAGTAATGTGAGCATTACTGCGTTCCGGTTTAGAAGGATAAGGGTGCTGGTGAAATTACAGCCACATGGGACTTGTCAACTTATGTTTTTTTTTTTTCTTTATGTCTCAGGGTGATGGGCGCAGTGGCAGTGCCCTTCAGATCTTCGTGATTAAAAAGCTTGTAACACAAATATTGCATCAACCCTTAAATTTTAATTTAAGTCTCAATGAAAACAAAGCAATCCCCACTTTAATTTTAAAGCGGTAAAGTCTAATATTATTATTATATTTTCAGATCACTTTTTACGCCATCGGTTTCCTCCTCCTCCTGGCCCTCACCCACGCAGCACCTGCTGATAAGCTCGCTGAAAAGGAGGACCTAGTCGCTGAGAAAGAGGACTTAGTTGCTGAAAAGGAGGATCTCAAACCCGCAGCCTCCGCTTGGGGAGGTCATTACGGAGGTTGGGGTGGTTACGGCGGTTACGGCGGTTACGGTGGATACGGCGGATACTGGGGTGGACACTACCCCTACTATGGTTCTTATTGGGGATACCCTAGTTATGGATATGGTTATGGTTGGCCTTCGTACGGATTCGGATACCACGGTTACTGGTAATTGATACCGAATTTAAAATTAAACCGAATGTGATAGATACACTTAATTGCATGATTAGAGGAACAACACATAATATACACGATTTTCACAAATTTTCTGGCTGTGTTTTTTATAGTAATAGACATTTATTTCAAATTAAACTTTAAAACAACAACTGCAAAGTTTAGTAAGAAAAAGTAAAAAACATTTCTTCCACTGTGAATTCTGTCACAGCAATACGCGTTACAACAATTTTTGTCTAGCATAGTCGTAATGTCGCGTGTCGCTGCGTTAGGCGTTATCGCATTAGATTTGCATAAAAAATCTTTACAAAATATATGTCAGTTTAACAACACAGCTTAGTTACGAATACTGTTTTTAAACTTTTCCATTTTCCAAAACTTTTTAGTCTATATTTAACCGAAAATCTTAATAATTTCTTTACAGGTGGTAACGGATTACGGTAATCTGCTGAACAATGATAACGAATTTAATAGAAGAGGCTGGTTTCTCTACTAAAACCTAGGTACTTTACAGAATTAGCTCAAATGTTCTCAACGCAAAACCAACATATCAACAGATGTATGTTCTTACAAAACAACTTACACAAAAAAAACTGTTCCGCTAATTATGCCACAAAGTGTAAAAGGACTTGCCTTTTGTAATATATGTACGTATTATGTATATGTAAAGGTTTAAATGATGAATTTAAAATAGATAACGCGAATTATACTTGGTAATTTCAGTCACGTTCAAGTTTTTCGGTTCATATATGCCATTGTTATGGATGAAAGGACCTACAGGTTTATAAGTACTTATATGTAATGTATTTCGCGTGGGTTACAGTTATGTTTTTAACGCTTTTTTGGTCACAGTCATTTGATAAACTATACGGTGAATGAATGAAACTGAGTTGTGTATACAATGCACTTTATGTTATTTAAATTAAAAATAATGTACCAGACTACAACACTAACTACCTGATCATTACGAGCACTATAGAATTTACTACAGGGCACTATCCAGAATACCCATACCTAAATCAACCGGCAGTTGAACTCGGGTTCTGCTCATCCAACGCCAATTGGGCAAACCGTTGGGTCACCGAGCTCGTCGAATTGTTTATGATACTTTTCTTGCGTTTTATTTTGTATACAATTTTACATGAAAAATATGGAAATTATAAGGATCTCATTCTTTTTTCATGTTAGTATGTAATAGATATATACATTTTATGGAATATTTTATTTCTATTAAACTTGAAAATGATAGTTGTGTGTGTGTTTTCAACACGTGTTTGTCTCTTTTTTTATAAATTTCTTTATGATATTTTCAAATGTAATTTTTATTTTTGGAAGAACTTAATGATATTGTCAAGTGTAATTTGTGATTGTTTGCAAAACGTTAATGATATTTTCAAGTGTAAATTGTATTTTTGCGAGTACTTAATGATATTTTGAAGTGTAATTCCAGCCTAATGTCATAATATAAGAGTTCAACACTGCCTTCACGTTGTACCAAAATGTATAATAAATAAAATAGATTTAAGCACAAATGTATTTATTAAAGATAACCAAAAACGATTTATGTACAACTGTATGTTTTTATTTACGGAAATCATAAAACATATTATTTTTTATTAAAAAAATATAAGTAATTAATAATAACATCCTTTTGGACACCTCTCCGTTTTACAGACTTAATAGAGCTCCTTGTAAAAGAGTTCGTCTAAGAAATTATTGCCACCTTACCGTTTCGCTTTTGAAGGGTAAGTGTCCTGAGATCTTCGCGGTTTAAAGCACCGCAACTGTTATGAACGGACGTGTCGCTTACCACCAGACTCACAACTTGTTCGTAGCATCACTTGATAGCATAAAAAAGGCTTATTTTAATTTTTTATTTCATTTGTAACAATCCTCATTATCGTACCACTACTCGGCATGGGTCTCCTCTTAAGTGTTTTTAGGCAGTAGTATGCCACGCTGCGCGCTGAAATAATCTTCCAGGTAATATTATAAAATTTGTAACGCCTGAATTTGACACTGAAATTATTACACCGCACATGAACAAATATATTACGTATCCACTTACAACAGAGCAGTGCTGTTAACTCTTACTCACGATTAATACCTTTGACCTGTCTAGTTTCTATCATTGTGAAAGTCCAGGAAGAATTACGTGAACATATGTATGTAATTACGTAAATATTACACTACAAATTTATAAATATATTCATATGTACTCATGTTTCCAAATTTAAAAAAATAATTGGGTAAATAACTGTATTTTTTATTGTCATTTCTTTTTACTACCACGATATTCAGTTATTTTTTATGAAATTGCTCCAATAGTATGTTTTAATTATTAATACAAACATCGAACACCTAGAAAAAATCCACCCGGATACGAACCAACGTCTTCTAGCAACGCGTGCCAAATGCTATGCCAATTAAGCCACGGAACGAACCAGCGAGCGGACCTTAAGAATTTTTCTATGTGCTCATTGCAATGTGCTTTATAATCCTTTGTAGCTGAAACACGAGAACCTATTCCTAAACCTATATTATTTCTATTTTATATATCTATTTCCTATTATCTTTTATTGCACTTCATGTCAAATAAAGTAATTTAGATTTCTTACGCCTAAGAACTTAACTAGATAGAAATATGTCAAGATAGAAAATTTGATATGAAAAACATAAAAATAATAAAAAAAAGTACATGAAACAAATTGTGTATGGATGTGAAATTGTATTTTTTATTATTATTTTTTTATAACATCAAGCGACGGGACGAACAAGTCGTGCGCGTGATGGTAAGCCACACGCCTGTCCATAACAGTTGCAGTGCCACTCAGAGCTTTAAATTACTACCACTGCGCCCGTCACCCTGAGACATAAGTTAATAAGTCCCATGTGTCTGTAATTTCACCAGCACCCTTATACTTATCCTAAATGAAATTTTATAATAAATCTTATAGACTAATTAATAAAGTTCGTAGAATCTTTAGTCGTCTCTCGTAAAAAGTTGTCATTTTGATTTGGTGTAATAAGATGTTAATATTACACCAACAACGCAACGTTGTCAGCATCACTGATAATGCTGTGGCAGTCACTGGTCCTCACAAATATAAACGTCAGAGTCGACACGTTAAGAAGAAGTGTAAAACGAAAGCTAGATTTAAAATTTTAATTATAATTTTAGTATTTTTTGTGTTAATAATTTGTTTTACTGTGTTGATACAATAAAGATCAATAAAACCTCGTCTATGGAGCACGTTGATGTCTCTTGTATGAAAAATCTTGATAGATTACAAAGCGACATCTACCGTAGTATTGAACAAAGTCATATAAAACACCAGTAACTTTGTTTTTTAATGCCCTACACTCTGTGTTGATACAAAATTCCACACGGCACCAGCGCCATCTGTGGAATTTCAATAGATGCTTATGGTGTAGCCTGCACGAAATAAATAGCAAATATTTTGACTTGCTGCTTTGCTACGTGGTTTTTCAGAGGCATTTTACGCGTGGTTCGTAAGTTACTTACAAAAATTTAAAAAAATAACCGAGTTTGTAGGACAGAGACTTAGAATAATAACGTACAGAATGATAGTTTCATATCCGCTCACGCGATTCATGCGTCTCTGGAAGCATACCACACCTAGAGGTGCCGGCGATGATTTTATACCGATTTATCAGATATCGAAGTTATAACAGTAAAAGAACTAATACTAATTGCTATTTCGGTAACTACTCTAGCAAACCATAAAGTTTTTAATGCCTGGGTCTGTCATTTAAAAAAAATAAACAACTTCAAAAATGCGTCACGACAATCGTGGGTGTTATTGTTTGGGCTGGTGATGTCGGTGTTTATTTATTGAAAACATACCGTAAGTTGCGTTTTTTACGTTTACTCTGAATATAAATGTTTATAAACTATACTTTAAGGAGTAATTTCATGGTAAACATTAGAACCACTCAAACGGAATATTATCATATTTACCCAAGTACACCAAAAATTTCATTAGTGCTTTTTAAGTGTAAGATTTGCGGTGTATTACTGCATTTTATTTGAGATGTTTTTATTGTAGTACGAACGTATTTATTTAGCAATGCAGAATAATAATTTTTATTTTTAAAAACTTGTATTTAAACTGAATGCTTTTCTAATTTGCGAAACCAAATAGCCGCCATTTTGCGGTAGGATGAGTGCATCGCGTGAGCGGTTACCAAACGAACTGTCACAAGTGAGGCAAAAATCAAATTCATGTAGGCTAGTTTTAGTAGTAGGTTAATTTTCGGTTTTAGTGAATATTTATATAAAAATACAAGTTGAAACGCGTTACTTCCTTATGGAATGTGATGTTAGTATCTATTTTATGTTTGTCTGACGTATTTTTACACTAATTTACCGCACATTTCGTCATTTTTAGCTAAAATTCTTGATCTGTTCGCGGTGCAAGTTGACCATGAGCACTGAAGGCCCGCCCGCTCGTGTAGGCCCTTTGGGAGCGCTTCAATTTGCCTCACTTAGCGTGTGCGGGTTAGGTTTCTATGCGTTATTATTCTAAGGACAGAGATGAATGCATTGCAATCAACAGCATATTTTTTTCAATGTTTATTGGAATATTCCGTATGGACTCTTAATGTACGTCTACTCTCATCGAAAGGTTTCCACAAAAATTCATAGAGAGCCATGCGCATTAGTACAACTAACGGGCACGCGTGATGTTGCTGGCTGTTCTTGACAGTCGTTTTCTCAAATTCCTAAATCATTTAGAAGCCCACGTATTTATACGCTTCTATAATAAAATGACTGTTGATATTCCACATTTTCCATTTACTAAGCTCAAAACTGTCTTGAAATAAAAACTTTATACAATGGGATCTTATACAGCTTCTTTGTGTCTGGATAACAAAATTCCGTTAATATCTTTTAAGTTACTTCTGGCCATAATATTTGTAAATTAATCATTATTATAAACGAACGATACACAAATATTTCTGTTTACCAATCCCTAGAGATTCTTACTATTACCATTGGCCAATAATTTAAGTGGTTTGAGTTCTTGAGTCATTGGCTCATGCTATTACTTAACTGGATAATCTACCTTAAACAGAATCAATATTTTATTGAGTTGAAGTTGTTGGTTTTCCACTTCCCTTTGAATTTGAATTATAAATATACATAATTCACAGTTTAAATTAGTTGGGCGAATCGTACCATTCAAATTTAATAAAATTGTAATTAAATTAAATAACAACAATAAAATTAAAAATAAACCTTGCTGTCATCCCGGAACAACTTAATCGCTCAAAAGTAATATTATAAATACGAAAGTAACTCTATCTGTCACGTTTTCACGCCTACACCGCTGAACCAATTTTGTTGTATTTTGCTGTAGAAATAGTATCTAGGACTACTTTATCTACACACATATCATAAACCCTTTATGATGTGTTCAAAAACCGCAAATTACGACCAGCATAAAGGTAAACTGTTTTAATAGAACAAATTTCTTACCTGTGAAAATGTTATTATTGCTTCATAATAATATCGAATTCGATTTTATTATTACATTCAAATTTCGAACATCTCTGAAAAACAAAACAATTTGATTGGACCTCAATTCTAATATCAGTCGAGATCAAGTTTTATTCGAAATTAAATGTCAATCGCAAACAATTTTGACAAATTTCACACTTTACTTGATATCGAACGATATGATAATTGAGACCGCTCTAGTTTGTCTATGAATTAAAAAAAACTACGCTTGCGTGACATGCGCGAGAAAAGTTTTAATTTGCCGCCATTTCACCAGTCGTAACATGCGGTTCCTGAACACATCATAGAGAGCTTATAATATGTATGTAGATAAAGTAGTGTATGTAACTGTACACAATTAGGCAATAAAACACTCGTGCGATGTTTTCTCATGAAACTCGTCTGTCGACTCGTTTCATAAACCCATACTCGTATTTTAATGCTTTTCGTTATGTTACAGTCGCATAGACTACTTATTGTCACAAATATATATATTAAAAGAGTGAAATACAGTATGGAAGTTTGTATGGAGAACCAATATAATATTCATATTTATGTTTTTTAAAGAAATAAACAAAACAAACAATGGTAAAACAAAGATCTGCAACTTCCTCTGGTTCGTTCCGTGGTTTAGTTAGCATAGCGTCTGCCACGGTTTGCTAGAAGACGTCGCGTCGGTTTGAATCCAGCCGGATCGAAAGATTTTTTTCTAAAATGTTCGATCTTTGTATTAATAATTAAAACAAAATAACATAGTACAGTGGGGTACTCGAAATA